ACTTAATATTACATACACTACAAATGCAATTACGGCGAATGGGTGAACGAATTCGGGAGACATGGAATGCGGTGCAAACGATCAGACGGACGCCTGCCCAGACATGATGGCATCAGCAGGGAGTACTTAATATTACATACACTACAAATGCAATTACGGCGAATGGGTGAACGAATTCGGGAGACATGGAATGCGGTGCAAACGATCAGACGGACGCCTGCCCAGACATGATGGCATCAGCAGGGAGTACTTAATATTACATACACTACAAATGCAATTACGGCGAATGGGTGAACGAATTCGGGAGACATGGAATGCGGTGCAAACGATCAGACGGACGCCTGCCCAGACATGATGGCATCAGCAGGGAGTACTTAATATTACATACACTACAAATGCAATTACGGCGAATGGGTGAACGAATTCGGGAGACATGGAATGCGGTGCAAACGATCAGACGGACGCCTGCCCAGACATGATGGCATCAGCAGGAGTACTTAATATTACATACACTACAAATGCAATTACGGCGAATGGGTGAACGAATTCGGGAGACATGGAATGCGGTGCAAACGATCAGACGGACGCCTGCCCAGACATGATGGCATCAGCAGGAGTACTTAATATTACATACACTACAAATGCAATTACGGCGAATGGGTGAACGAATTCGGGAGACATGGAATGCGGTGCAAACGATCAGACGGACGCCTGCCCAGACATGATGGCATCAGCAGGAGTACTTAATATTACATACACTACAAATGCAATTACGGCGAATGGGTGAACGAATTCGGGAGACATGGAATGCGGTGCAAACGATCAGACGGACGCCTGCCCAGACATGATGGCATCAGCAGGAGTACTTAATATTACATACACTACAAATGCAATTACGGCGAATGGGTGAACGAATTCGGGAGACATGGAATGCGGTGCAAACGATCAGACGGACGCCTGCCCAGACATGATGGCATCAGCAGGAGTACTTAATATTACATACACTACAAATGCAATTACGGCGAATGGGTGAACGAATTCGGGAGACATGGAATGCGGTGCAAACGATCAGACGGACGCCTGCCCAGACATGATGGCATCAGCAGGGAGTACTTAATATTACATACACTACAAATGCAATTACGGCGAATGGGTGAACGAATTCGGGAGACATGGAATGCGGTGCAAACGATCAGACGGACGCCTGCCCAGACATGATGGCATCAGCAGGGAGTACTTAATATTACATACACTACAAATGCAATTACGGCGAATGGGTGAACGAATTCGGGAGACATGGAATGCGGTGCAAACGATCAGACGGACGCCTGCCCAGACATGATGGCATCAGCAGGAGTACTTAATATTACATACACTACAAATGCAATTACGGCGAATGGGTGAACGAATTCGGGAGACATGGAATGCGGTGCAAACGATCAGACGGACGCCTGCCCAGACATGATGGCATCAGCAGGAGTACTTAATATTACATACACTACAAATGCAATTACGGCGAATGGGTGAACGAATTCGGGAGACATGGAATGCGGTGCAAACGATCAGACGGACGCCTGCCCAGACATGATGGCATCAGCAGGAGTACTTAATATTACATACACTACAAATGCAATTACGGCGAATGGGTGAACGAATTCGGGAGACATGGAATGCGGTGCAAACGATCAGACGGACGCCTGCCCAGACATGATGGCATCAGCAGGGAGTACTTAATATTACATACACTACAAATGCAATTACGGCGAATGGGTGAACGAATTCGGGAGACATGGAATGCGGTGCAAACGATCAGACGGACGCCTGCCCAGACATGATGGCATCAGCAGGAGTACTTAATATTACATACACTACAAATGCAATTACGGCGAATGGGTGAACGAATTCGGGAGACATGGAATGCGGTGCAAACGATCAGACGGACGCCTGCCCAGACATGATGGCATCAGCAGGGAGTACTTAATATTACATACACTACAAATGCAATTACGGCGAATGGGTGAACGAATTCGGGAGACATGGAATGCGGTGCAAACGATCAGACGGACGCCTGCCCAGACATGATGGCATCAGCAGGGAGTACTTAATATTACATACACTACAAATGCAATTACGGCGAATGGGTGAACGAATTCGGGAGACATGGAATGCGGTGCAAACGATCAGACGGACGCCTGCCCAGACATGATGGCATCAGCAGGGAGTACTTAATATTACATACACTACAAATGCAATTACGGCGAATGGGTGAACGAATTCGGGAGACATGGAATGCGGTGCAAACGATCAGACGGACGCCTGCCCAGACATGATGGCATCAGCAGGAGTACTTAATATTACATACACTACAAATGCAATTACGGCGAATGGGTGAACGAATTCGGGAGACATGGAATGCGGTGCAAACGATCAGACGGACGCCTGCCCAGACATGATGGCATCAGCAGGGAGTACTTAATATTACATACACTACAAATGCAATTACGGCGAATGGGTGAACGAATTCGGGAGACATGGAATGCGGTGCAAACGATCAGACGGACGCCTGCCCAGACATGATGGCATCAGCAGGAGTACTTAATATTACATACACTACAAATGCAATTACGGCGAATGGGTGAACGAATTCGGGAGACATGGAATGCGGTGCAAACGATCAGACGGACGCCTGCCCAGACATGATGGCATCAGCAGGAGTACTTAATATTACATACACTACAAATGCAATTACGGCGAATGGGTGAACGAATTCGGGAGACATGGAATGCGGTGCAAACGATCAGACGGACGCCTGCCCAGACATGATGGCATCAGCAGGGAGTACTTAATATTACATACACTACAAATGCAATTACGGCGAATGGGTGAACGAATTCGGGAGACATGGAATGCGGTGCAAACGATCAGACGGACGCCTGCCCAGACATGATGGCATCAGCAGGAGTACTTAATATTACATACACTACAAATGCAATTACGGCGAATGGGTGAACGAATTCGGGAGACATGGAATGCGGTGCAAACGATCAGACGGACGCCTGCCCAGACATGATGGCATCAGCAGGGAGTACTTAATATTACATACACTACAAATGCAATTACGGCGAATGGGTGAACGAATTCGGGAGACATGGAATGCGGTGCAAACGATCAGACGGACGCCTGCCCAGACATGATGGCATCAGCAGGGAGTACTTAATATTACATACACTACAAATGCAATTACGGCGAATGGGTGAACGAATTCGGGAGACATGGAATGCGGTGCAAACGATCAGACGGACGCCTGCCCAGACATGATGGCATCAGCAGGAGTACTTAATATTACATACACTACAAATGCAATTACGGCGAATGGGTGAACGAATTCGGGAGACATGGAATGCGGTGCAAACGATCAGACGGACGCCTGCCCAGACATGATGGCATCAGCAGGGAGTACTTAATATTACATACACTACAAATGCAATTACGGCGAATGGGTGAACGAATTCGGGAGACATGGAATGCGGTGCAAACGATCAGACGGACGCCTGCCCAGACATGATGGCATCAGCAGGAGTACTTAATATTACATACACTACAAATGCAATTACGGCGAATGGGTGAACGAATTCGGGAGACATGGAATGCGGTGCAAACGATCAGACGGACGCCTGCCCAGACATGATGGCATCAGCAGGGAGTACTTAATATTACATACACTACAAATGCAATTACGGCGAATGGGTGAACGAATTCGGGAGACATGGAATGCGGTGCAAACGATCAGACGGACGCCTGCCCAGACATGATGGCATCAGCAGGAGTACTTAATATTACATACACTACAAATGCAATTACGGCGAATGGGTGAACGAATTCGGGAGACATGGAATGCGGTGCAAACGATCAGACGGACGCCTGCCCAGACATGATGGCATCAGCAGGAGTACTTAATATTACATACACTACAAATGCAATTACGGCGAATGGGTGAACGAATTCGGGAGACATGGAATGCGGTGCAAACGATCAGACGGACGCCTGCCCAGACATGATGGCATCAGCAGGGAGTACTTAATATTACATACACTACAAATGCAATTACGGCGAATGGGTGAACGAATTCGGGAGACATGGAATGCGGTGCAAACGATCAGACGGACGCCTGCCCAGACATGATGGCATCAGCAGGGAGTACTTAATATTACATACACTACAAATGCAATTACGGCGAATGGGTGAACGAATTCGGGAGACATGGAATGCGGTGCAAACGATCAGACGGACGCCTGCCCAGACATGATGGCATCAGCAGGGAGTACTTAATATTACATACACTACAAATGCAATTACGGCGAATGGGTGAACGAATTCGGGAGACATGGAATGCGGTGCAAACGATCAGACGGACGCCTGCCCAGACATGATGGCATCAGCAGGAGTACTTAATATTACATACACTACAAATGCAATTACGGCGAATGGGTGAACGAATTCGGGAGACATGGAATGCGGTGCAAACGATCAGACGGACGCCTGCCCAGACATGATGGCATCAGCAGGGAGTACTTAATATTACATACACTACAAATGCAATTACGGCGAATGGGTGAACGAATTCGGTAGCGTAGCGCAGTCTTTTGAATGGAAGACCTTGATTGCCTTTGTCTCTCTGCTGCTCTATCTGTAACTTGACGCTGAATCAGGCTGATTACAATTACATTTTTGTCCTTTAACATCGTTGTATCATCAGCCAAGCTGTCGTTCACATCTAATAAATACATATTAGATACTTCACAGTCTAGGGTAAATGCATATGGCCTGAGTGTAGCGCAGTCTTTTGAATGGAAGACCTTGATTGCCTTTGTCTCTCTGCTGCTCTATCTGTAACTTGACGCTGAATCAGGCTGATTACAATTACATTTTTGTCCTTTAACATCGTTGCCTCTAACGAAACGGAGCTTCAGTGGTCACTCCTCATGAATGCTGTGAAGTATCTAATATGTATTTATTAGATGTGAACGACAGCTTGGCTGATGATAGAATGAATACGTAAACATAAGAAAACATGAAGGTAAACTCACAACTACTGCAACGTTGCTAAGCACATATTAAGTACTACAGTACTTAATATTACATACACTACACTCCCCCACAATAAGATAAAAACACACGGACTGAATAAAACAGGAATAAATAACAATTTTAAATCGGCGGAAATTCTACAAAAATCTTTTTCATCACATAATCCTTGAGGAGGTAATCCGGCATTTTCCTTGTCCGATCGCTTCGGCGGAGTTCTGCTTCCGGAATCGGAGCCTTCGGAACTTTCGGTGGCTTCGCAGCAGCCTTCTCCGATGGCTTCTTCGGAGGTTTCGTTTCGGCCTTGGGAGCCACGACTTCCGCCTTCCCTGGGGGTGGTGGTCCACGGTCTGGACCTGCAACAACAAGAGGGGGCACAGGCTGCGGTGCAGCCTGCATACTTACTTGATCTGGTTTTGGCGCCACAGTATCACGTCGCGCCTCAAGCGCAGCCTCAAGGCGTCGCGCCTCAAGCGCAGCCTCAAGGCGTCGCGCTTCTTCAACTGGTGCCGCGGGTTCACGTCGCACCTTTGGCGCAGCCTCAAGGCGTCGCGCCTCTGACGCCTTACGCTCGCGCTGCGTCGCAACCTCTACCGGTTGTAGCATCGGGACGGGCTTTGTTCGCTGTGCACTCGCCGCCATCTGCGACTCTGCGTGCTCTTCGGCGGTCAACCAATAGCGTGGTAGCATCTGGTTAGCATGCCTTCGCCACACTTGACCGTTTACTTTAACTTCCCACATCGTTTTACCGATGGGTTTTACCAGCTGCCCTGCAGCCCACTTATCAGCACTGTTCAACCGGAAGTCGTTTACTTGGACCAATTGTCCCGTTGTGAACACGCGCGCCTTAGTGCGCTTATCAAAATTGCGCTTCTGCCTGTCTCGGGCCTTCTCATGCACCTGCGCTACAGGATGAACCAGGTCTAATATTGTCCTGACCTTTCGATTCAAAAACAACTCGCACGGAGCCTTTCCTGTAGTACCATTTGGTACAGTACGAAAACGACTGAGGAACTCTCGCAGCGCATCGGCAAACGTTTTCCCGGAATGCATGCCCTTTTCGATGCCCTTCTTCACTACATCAACGTAGCGCTCGGCTTGCCCATTGGACTGCGGGTGTCCCGGGGCTATAGTCATATGCTTAATCCCTCTTTCAGTACAAAACTGTTGAAACTGTTCCGACGTGAACTGACGTCCGTTATCACTGACGATGTCAGTACACAGTCCATATCGCGCAAACAGACTTTCCATGATGGAAATCACATTACTGGTATCGGCTCTCTTGACCTCAAACGCTTCTAGCCACTTCGAGAATGCGTCGACTATTACAAGTATCATGCGACCTTTGAACGGTCCCGCAAAATCTATGTGTAACCGATGCCACGGGCCCTGTGGGACCGGCCACTGCTGTAACGGTACCTTTCTCGGATCTTTCGCTAACATCGAACAGATCTCACATTCCCCGGCTACTTTCTCTACCGCTTCGTCAATACCAGGCCACCAAACGTGGCTTCTCGCTTCCGCTTTCATCTTTACTACGCCTGTATGCGTACTGTGTAAGTACTTGAGTATCTGTGCACGTAACGAACTGGGGATAACTACTCGGTTATTCCACAACAAACAACCATCGCATATTGAATATGCGTTCTTCCGGCGACTGTACGCCACTAACTCTGTCGGAACCTTGTTTGGCCATCCGTTTAAATGAAACTGCTTGACTCGTTCAATCTCGCTGTCCTTTAGACTAGCCGCACGAATCACATCAGCTGATACTGGCATACTAGACAGAATCTCACTTTCTACCAAATTGACCACTTCTGTCTTGCCCAAATCTTCTTCGTCAAACAAATCTGATGACTTAATCGGTAGTCTACTGAGACCATCTGCCTGACCAAAATCTGACGTTCTACGGTACTCGATTCGGAATGTGTAACCCATGAGCACAATGGCCCACCGCTGCAGCCTGTTTGCAGTAACTACTGGCACACCTTTCTTGCTTCCGAACACCGTAACCAGCGGCTTATGGTCAGTTAACAAGACGAACTCTCGACCGTACAGATATTGGTGAAACCGTTTTACACCAAATACTAAACCGAGAGCCTCTTTCTCAATTTGACCGTAATTCTGCTCAGCTGATGTCAACGTCTTCGATATGTGCGCTATCGGCTTATCACTACCGTCAGGCATCCTGTGGCTCAACACTGCACCTATACCATACTTCGATGCATCAGCTGCCAACACTAACGGCAATTCAGGGTTGAAATGCACTAACTGAGTCGCTTTCGTCAAATCATCTTTTAGCGACACAAATTCTTTCTGACAACCTGAATCCCATTTCCACTGCACTGACTGCTTGAGTAGCTTATAAAAGCAACTGCATCTGCTCGACAAATTTGGCAGAAACTTTGCATAATGGTTGATCATACCCAGGAACGAACGTAACTGTCCTACGTCCTGTGGTGCTGGCATTTCAACAACAGCTTTCGTTTTCTCACTCGAAATACGTCTGCCAGCTTTATCAATGATGAATCCCAAGTACTCAACTGAATCAACCAGAAACTCACATTTCTCTTTCTTGACCGTTAAGCCAGCTTGCTCAAGTTTCTCCAGTACCATATCTAACTTTCGTAGGCACTCTTCTCTGTTGCGCCCTTTTACAATAATATCATCCAGATATATTGCTACATCTTCACACCCTTGCAAGATACTTTCAATGAGCTGCTGAAATATACTAGGCGCACTGGCCACCCCGAACGGCAGTCGGTTGTATTTAAACAAACCCTTATGGGTATTAATAACCAGCAGCTTCGATCTCTCGTCGTCAACTGGGATCTGATTATAAGCTTCTCTCAGATCAATCTTGCAGAACACTACACCGCCATTTAATTTGGCAAAAAGCTCATCTGGGTGCGGTAGCGGATACTTGTGCACATCAAGTGCATCATTCAGACCGGTGCTCAAATCAGAACATATCCTGACCTTCTTCTTCGGTTTCTTTATGTAAACAGTCGGCGCTGCCCATTCGGCATGATCAACGGGTGTTAGTACACCTATACTGACTAACCGGTCAATATCTTCTTCAACTTCTTCCTTCAAAGCAAACGGCACGGGTCTGGCTTTACAAAACACTGGCCTCGCATTCTCCTTGAGATACAGATGCGCCTTAAAATTCTTGCAACACCCGAGCTCATCTCGGAATACAGCCTTATGCTTCTGTAGCACATGCGCCAACTTCAGCTTCTCAGTTACTGTGCAGACGTTACCTTGCTGCAACTGCTTCAAACTCAACGCATTAAGCTCTAACTGAGATATCCAGTCACGGCCAATTATGCTACAACCACGCTCTGTCACTAGCGCCTTCAGCGTTTTCATTACGCCTCTATAATGTACCTGTACCTCGACAGTACCCATTAGCTGTATCTGATGACCAGTAAAACTGTGCAGTACTTCATCTGCCTTTCTCAACTTCGGCGCTCCAATCTTGCGCCATGTCAGCTTACTCATGATTGTCACTGACGATCCTGTGTCTAACTCCATTGACACATTCTTACCGTTCATCGTTAACGGTACAAATATTGACGTGGGCGTCACTGGACCTGTCCTCAGTACATCGTACTCCTGAGTTCTGACATAGTTAGTCCTTCTCTGATCTCTGCCTTCCTTCTTCGGTGCCTTACACACCTTGGCAGTATGCCCTGTCTTTCCACAGTTATAGCACTTTGCATTCTTGTGTGGACAATCTGGCTTTAAATGACTGGTAGAACCACAGCCAAAACATGCTGATTTACGACCAACATTATTGTTACCACCGCGACCTTTAAAACGACCTCGGCCACGCCCATGAAAACCTCCGCGCTTTATCGCGGATACATCTGGCGACTGTGACTTAGACCCTGATTGCTTTGCATCTGCACGACTCTGCTCGTACTTATCGGCTTCTTCGTACAGCGTATCGAACTTCTCCACTGAGGAGACTGGCAATGAGTACAGGTATCTACGCGTCGTCTCGCTCGCTACACCTGACATGAACGCAGCACAAAGCTGGTCGTCAACAAATGTATCTGGAAAATCGCATTTAACTGCTTGATTCCTGAGGCTATTGCTGAAATCTAACAGCGTCTGACCTACCTGCTGCTTAATGCTGAAAAAATTTGCTCGTTCGACTCGCACGTTCGTACGCTTACTATAAGCGACCTTGAGCTTACTGTACAGCTCGTCGAAGGTGAACGCGCCAGGATCCTTCGGACGGCACATGGAGGCTAGCATCTCCATTGCCTTAGGAGCCAACGATCCCAGTAGTAGCGGCTTCTTCCTGTCCGTAGCCATCCCATGGGAGGACAGGTGACTGTCAAACTGGATCCGCCAGGTCTCCAGTTTGATGACCTCTGGATCGAACTTCGCCAGGCGGGGCAATCCGGTAGAATCCGCTTCTTCTCCGGCCACATCCTGCCTGGTCTGCGTCACTGACGTACGGACAACGGTACTCGTACTAGTACCATCCGTATTACCAGTGGTAGCCATTATTCCAGATTAAAAACTTTTAAAAATTGCTATCATCCTTCACGCCAATGTGAAGTATCTAATATGTATTTATTAGATGTGAACGACAGCTTGGCTGATGATAGAATGAATACGTAAACATAAGAAAACATGAAGGTAAACTCACAACTACTGCAACGTTGCTAAGCACATATTAAGTACTACAGTACTTAATATTACATACACTACAAATGCAATTACGGCGAATGGGTGAACGAATTCGGGAGACATGGAATGCGGTGCAAACGATCAGACGGACGCCTGCCCAGACATGATGGCATCAGCAGGGAGGTCGCTCGCACGCTAGCAATCACGCGCGAAAGAAGTTTTCAGGCAGCGGACCTCCATCCAAATCCTCTATTTGCCAATATGCAGTAAAAAAGCCAAAAACAATAATTCAGTCTCCAGAAAAAATGTACAGCAGCTACAAGTACATACATGGAACACGATTAACTTTAAATATAAAGCAGTTAAACTTATTCGTGAATATGTGCGTACATACACAAAGGACATACCAAAAGTTTTTTTCCCTATTTTGTCTGCTTTCCAGATGATGTAATACATCAACGATATATTTTTTGTTGCATAACCTAAGCTATCGAAGGAAAAAAATTTTAGCTATCGATAAGAACGAACCAGACGAAAAATCAATTAGTCGGTGATGCTTTGGGCAGCCTAACCACTCACTCCCTTTCCAAAAATTTCAGTTGTTTCATCACCACTTCTCTCCCTCTCAACGTTTTTGCCTATAATTTCTAATATTGAAAGCTTACCATTCCCTGGTTATTATCGTGATGATGAAACGTTATTAAACGTTCTCAAATTAAAATAATAAGTTTATTCTATAGGCCATCAAGTTTTTTGATTTTCCACTTTCCTGCTGTTCCGAACTTTGGATCCTTTCCTCAAAAAAAACTTGAATTTGGTACATAAAAGCGTTTTGTGCTTCTCGAAGAATGAACGAGGAGAATTTTAATATGCTGCGAGAAGAGCGGAAAATAGGTTGCCAGAAGCCGCCATGCAACAGTCTTCGTGACGAATTCCCCAGCCGGAATGAGCAAAACCTAAATTATAATTTCCATTAATTAGTTAATGATTTGCATTAGTAAAAATATGGGTGGAAAGGGTAAAGTGAGTTTGTGGGGGAAGTTAAAAACTAGGGAAAAAAACTTTTGGTATCCCCTTTGTAACATAAAAAATCCCAGACTCACGAAACCGGAAACCCCTATCATTAAATTGTATAACGTCCGTAAAATCCAGGAGAATATCGTGAACTACTGTAATTATAAAAGGTATTTGAAGAAAGTAAAAATATCGAAAATCCTGATTAGTTATAACAAACAATAAAACTAGGTCAGAAGGACTGCCAGGAGGACGGCGAGGCTGGAGAGGGTCCCCAGGATGCACAGGAGGATCATCAGGCAGTACAACACTAACAGTGGTGTGGCTTATATACTCCATAATAGCGGTAACGTCGTGGTGGAATTAGCGGTCAAGTGGGAAACGTTCATTATCGTCGGCGCGGCTACATTCCCAGGAAATTTAGCGTGAGAAAGTTTGGCGCCGAGAAAAATGTTTAACGTTTAACTAAAACGCTAGTCGGTGGATCAATGTTTCTCCGTTTGAATTAAAACTGTTAGCGTGACTTGTTGACAAGGGTGAGCAGGATGCACAGGTGGGACAATAAAATCAATCAACACAATGGCAACCGGGTCCCAAGTGCTAATAAAAGTGCACCTGTTTTGCTTTCGATACAGAAACGCTTAATACAAAAAAATCAACGATCAGCTGCGAGCGTCAATGTTGGCATAATCTCGCGGATGCCAGCACCACGCGCGGGTTACTGAAGAGGCTCCATCGCGTCGGGATAATAATAGTGCCGCCTGCCGCGTAATCCTTAATTAAACAACGTATTATGAGGTGCATTGCGACAGACCTGGATATTCCCGGAGAAGCGCCAGGCGTGTCAGCAGGTGCCAGACGCGGCTCCCGAAGTCTTAGGTTTTCTTACGAATCATCAAGTAGCTAATAACGTCTTATTCGATAGTCGGTACCGACAGCTACGGGACCATACGAAAAATGAGGAGAATCATTCAACAGAAGCACCGAACTTGCAACAATAAACTCGAAAATGTAGAAAGAAGACTTAACTTGTCGAGGCTGATTCCCCGTAATCGTCAATAAAGCCGCCGTTGTCATTAAGCCAAGAGCTAAAGAATGCCCTTGCTCATTACTGGGCAAAAGTCGGCAATACATCACGGTGCGTTCGCGTGATGCTGCTACTTAGTTTAGTGTGATTCAAATTTTGACTTTACAATAATAACCGAAATCGGTAGCGCCGTTAGAGCTGTGGCGCAATGGCTCCGTCGGTTTAGGACGATGGCGCAGGCAGCGTCCTAAACCGACGGAGCCATTGCGCCGAGTGGGATGATACCAAACAGCTGCCGCAGGTCCCAGTTTATTTGACAGGTCACGCTGGACAATAGTACAATGTACGATGTCGGAGTACGGGTCGAAGTCGTACCACACGGGGAAGGCTTTCAAGGACGCCCTGCTGGCACGTTTCCAAACGGATGACTGGAAGCTGCAGTTGAAGCTTAACATCCTGCGTTTGAAAACGTGCCAGTTCGAAGACGATTCCGGCACCAATGCGATATCTACACTACTACTATCCGTAGACGCAAATAAGATCGGGTTTTAGCAACTTTAGTAACACTCAGCCACTTTAAATAACTCTCAGCTAAGGACTGAATAAATAACAAAAAACCATGAGCTTAATAACGGCCAAAGCCGGAAATGACAGGACATCAAGAGAATCGAGCTCATATCAGACAATCACTCAGTACAAATATAACAGTAATACGTTATATAACAGAGCGAAAGATAAATAGTCACATTAACAGCTAGACCTTCCCCTCTGCCGTACGTTAACGGGGATCTGGTGACGCTGCTATTTTTCTGGCAAGAAAAAACTCAGGACGGTCTTTTCCAGTAAAATGTGCGTGATTTATTTGCATGTTGCATGGCTTTACACGTGGAACACCTCGTTGATCCCGTAAATGGACAATTTGCTCCAGGTGGATACATCCTCCCACCGCAGATCGACGCCGTCCCACACTTTAGGGCTTCCGTCCGGGTGGAACCCGCTGAACCTGCAGCAAAATATACGGTCAGTGATATATAGATGCGGTTTCCGGCAAATCACGAAGCAATCGTTCGGCTGGGTTCGTACAGTAACAGCATCACATACGAAAACCCAAGAAAACCTGAACCTCAGGGCAGGCTGAGTGCCAACCTAGAAAGGCAAGCACAGCTCTCGCAGCACAGGACAGTATATATTGGCTAGAAGTGGTTACTAGTCGCGCTCACAATCGGAGATAGTTGCGGACGCTCTGCCAGTCCTCCGGATAGGCCACCGTGCGAACCCAACGCGCGTGGACCGCCGTGACCTTTGCCAGCATGTCCGGCGTGACCGGCGGGAAGTTGTCGTTCAAGGCGCACATGTAGCGACTAGTCATATGCATCTCGCCGTCGCTGCAGCGCAGCAGCAACTTAGGAATGGTGATCAGCAGTTCGTCAAGGGCCAGTTCGTGCCACGCGTTGGGCAGCGGCAGCATCCACTCGCGCTCGTGCGCTGGCAGCGGACGCGAGGTCACGCCGGAGTGGGGCTCATTAAACCAGTTATTCAGAAAGGCATCGTAGACGTGCTGACCAAACAGGTCAGAGACGGTCCAGTTGCGAAGACAGACGACGTTGCAAAAACGTTCGTAGCGCGTGATATCATCCGCTGCCAGGTGCGTGATGCGCGACTGTGGTCGGTGAATCACGTGTCGCGATTTTCTTCGGATGTAGACGTGATCGGCGAGTACCAGGATAGGCAGCTTAATGGCGCTGGCCCGTAAGATGGCAGACAAGAGGAAATTGCTGTCTGATGGGAGAATGTTCAACACGGTGAGACTGCGTGTCCCCGAGCCGATGGAGCGGTCGAGCAGGGTGGCCAGTTTGAAGCAGTTATCGCTGTCTACTTGCAGTTCCCAGCAACTGTCGAAGGAGATGCTGACGTGCTGCAGGACTGTCGCGCTGTTCAACAGCAACCGCCATAAGGCACACACTCTAGGAGAAAAGATGACATATTCCCGCAGTACTCAGACTTTTACAAGCAAGTGCAAGGAACGAAAGCATCGCTACTGTTTTTGGAAAGAAATCAGCGAACGCCGAAATGCCCGTACCGTTTAACTTTCATTTGGGAGTGCAGGTTCAAATGCGACAAAATGTCGCTCAACAGGCAAGGCGGCAAATCCCGGATGCGTACAGTCCCCATCAATGCATCCGATTCCGTACCTAAGAAGAACAGCTTCCTGTCACTAATACGAACCCATTTATGTGTACGACCTTGCCCGCTAATTTCGGACGAATCAGTACAGCGAAATATACAAATTCACGACACAGTGTGGTGCCATAGGGCCCACATCGGGCCTGTGGTGTTCTCGTGAATCTACGTTTACGTATTATTCCTGTTGTACTTAGCAACTCTGTTACTGCGTGTTTGCTTGCCACTTGTCGTACTTCATATTTAGTCATCCTGCAAGCTCGCTCCTGTCAACCTGTATAATATTAAAGTCATACTTATTTACGTACTTCTTTACATACATGCATACATCACAGGGCCCATGCTCAAACTCGGACTTGGACTCGGACTTGGACTACTAAAACTTGGACTCGGACTTCACTTGGGCTCTAAAACTCGGACTTGACTTGGACTCTAAAACTCGGACTTTACTTGGACACTAAAACTTGGACTCGGACTTCACTTGGGCTCTAAAACTCGGACTTGACTTGGACTCTAAAACTCGGACTTTACTTGGACACTAAAACTTGGACTAATGCTATGAGTGTATTGTGCACAGTCCCTTCCCATGTTAATTGGGACAAATTCTTCATTTGATCTGATTTGTTGAGTGAAGCTCGCTTTGTACATATTGAGAAATAAAGTCATATTTAAACTTGGACTTTATGACGTGGACTTGGAATTAAGCGTTTCTTATGTTTCTCAAGTCTTCTTACGTTTCTTT